CAGATTTGTAAGGTAGAATTGGGATCATGATAGTGGTGGGGAGGAAGCATTTATAAGAACTAGAGGAAAGTTATATGTTTCATCGTTGCTACCCTGCACCCTGACTGGCTCATCTCCTCCCTACAACCCTTCAGTAAGGGGCTGTCCAGTTGCCTACCGATGGGCTTTGAGTCTCCACTCTGCACTCACCCTCATTTACAATTATATGATTTTTTGGTCTTTGATGCTTGATACCTGATCCCTTCGACAGCTCTTGGTCACACAGGCTGGTGTGCTTCTTCCATGTGGGCTGTGTTGCTTCTGAGCTAGATGCTGCTTGTTTATCTTCAAGCCTTTAAGACCTCAGATGCTATAACTTTTGATAGCCGGGCACCATCAGCTTTCTTCACCCGATTTTTAACTTGGCTGATTCATGTTTTTCTTATTAAGATGTTATAGTTTTCTATAGATTTTAGAGATTTTTCCCCTGAGTACTGCTGTTACCATGTCCCAATGATTTTGGTATGCTGTATTTTCTTCTTCTTTTTAAAATCATTTTATTAGGAGCTCATACAACTCTTATCACAATCAATACATACATCAATTGTATAAAGCACACTTGTGTATTCATTACCCTCATCATTCTCAAAACATTTGCTCTCCACGTAAGCCTCTGGTATCAGCTCCTCATCTATCTCCCTCCCTCCCTGCTCCCCCATCCCCCATAAACCCTTGATAATTTATAAATTATTTTGTCATATCTTAAACTATCAGACGTCTCCCTTCACCCGCTTTACTGTTGTCCATCCCCCAGGGAGGAGGTTATATGTAGATCTTTGTAATTGGTTCCCCCTCTCTACCCCACCCTCCCTTGACCCTCCTGGTATCCTTACTCTCACCACTGGTCTTGAAGGGATTATCTGTCCTGGATTACCTGTATTTCCAGTTCCTATCTGTACCAGTGTACAACCTATGGTCTGCCAGATTTATAAGGTAAAATTTGGATCATGATAGTGGGTGGGGAGGAAGCATTTAGGAACTAGAGGAAAGTTGTATGTTTCATCGTTGCTATACTGCACCCTGACTGGCTCATCTTCTCCCTGAGACCCTTTTGTAAGAGGATGTCCAGTTGCCTACAGATGGGCTTTGGGTCCCCACCCCGCACTCCCCCTCATTGACAATGATATGATTTTTTTTGTTCTTTGATGCTTGATACCTGATCCCTTCGACACCTCATGGTCACACAGGCTGGTGTGCTTCTTCCATGTGGGCGTTGTTGCTTCTGAGCTAGATGGCTGCTTGTTTACCTTCAAGCCTTTAAGACCGCAGAACACTATATATTTTGATAGCCGGGCACCATCACCTTTCTTCACCACATTTACTTAAGCACCCACTTTGTCTTCAGCGAGCACTCAGTTATATGGTTTTTTTTATTCTTGGATGCCTTATAACATCCCTTTGGCACCTCGTGATCACACAGGCTGGTGTGCTTCTTCCATGTAGGCTTTGTTGCTTCTGAGCTAGATGGTCACTTATTTACCTTCAAGTCTTTAAGACCCTAGACGCTATATCTTTTGATAGCCAGGCTCCATCATGTTGTATTTTCTTATTTGTTTCTAAATAATTTTATTGGGGGCTCATACACTCTTATCACAATCCATCCATCCATTGTGTCAAGC